AATATCCATCAAATTATGTTTAAGTACATATACATATACTTATATATAGTAAGGGTGTATTTTAATACATAGTCACTGCAAAAAATAAGTCTGAAGATGTGTGAAAGAGCCAAGCCCTCCTCCCCCCGCCCGCAGTACAATGGCCCAGCTGCAACCACCATTCAGTTTGTGTGTCCTTTTTATTTATTTATTTATATGCAAATCTATGTGGATATGCAGACATACGGACTTGTTTGTTCTTCTTCTACAAAAACGAGGTCACACAAAACGTCCAGCTCTGCAATGTGCTTTCCTCACTTCGCACGTGCCGTGGGTTCATCTCCATGACCGCCACGTGGAGTCATGCCTGCCGCGTAAGGTGGTTGTGAAGGCTCCGAGGTGCGAGCAGGTGCGGGCAGGTGCGGTCAGGTGGGGGCAGGTGCGAACAGGTGCGAGGAGGCACTAGGTATTCCTAAAGCTGTTACTGTGTCATTAATATTCCAGTATGATGCTCTCGAGGACTGAGGGAATCAGTGTCCACAGGGACGATGAAATACTATGTAGCTGTTCAGGAGCTGGAGGTGGCTCTCGCTGTGGGATGCAGACTGGTCCCCCACAGAGCAGTTAACCCAACGTGGAGTTGCAGCATGGTGGGGATGGTGTGGCAGGTTCTTCGCGCTCGGTCTCTGCCATTCCCTTTAACCACCAACCACTCAGGGGTTAATAAGTGCTTGTCTCTGATGGCTAGGACGACTCCTTTTTTGGGTTTCTCTAAAATTCTTCACCCTGGACATGCATTACTTTTAAAAAAATTGTGATACAATATACATAAAACTTACGATTTTTAACCCTTTTAAATCTATAGTTGAGCGGCAGGAAGCATGTTCACATTTTCGTGCAGGGGTCGCCACCAGCCATCTCCAGAACTTTCTCATCGTCCCAAACTGAACTCTGTCCCCATGAAACACGAACTCCCTGCTCCCCCTCCCCCAGCCCCTGGTAACCTACTTTCTGTCTCTATGGATTCGATGGACTCCGGGGACCTTGTATGCGTGGGATCCTACAGTACTTGTCCTTCTGTGCCTGGCTCCCTTCACTCAACACCATGTCCTCCCGGTTCATTCGTGTTGGATCAGGTGCCAGAATTTCCTTCCTTTTTAACTCTGAGTAATGTTCCATGGCATGAAATCCCACGAACAACAATTTGTTTATCCATTCATCCGTCTACGGACATGTGCGTTGCTCCCACATTGTGGCTGTCGTGAACCTGGATGTACCAGCATCTGTCCAGGTCCCTGCTTTCGCTTCTTTGGGGTACACGCCCAGATATATTAATTTTTAGAAAAGATAAGCTAGAAAGTAGTCTTTGAGATTTTGGTAGAAATGAGCAATATTTGAGAATTAATTTGGGGAGAATAGACAACACGTGTCGAGACCTCCTACCCGGGAATCTGGGCTGGCTCGCCATCCACGTCTCTTTTCGTTTTGGGGCGGTGGGGGAATGGCGGGGGGCTCCCAGCCTTGCTGGCTGCTCCTCTGACCTGTGCCCCACCCTTGTCCTTGCCGACAGCCCAACACCGAGGGCATCTGGGAGCTGATGACCGGAGGGGTCTTCTACTGCTTGGGCATGGTGTTCTTCAAGAGTGACGGCAGGATCCCCTTTGCTCACGCCATCTGGCATCTCTTTGTGGCCTTTGGCGCTGGCACCCACTACTATGCCATCTGGAGGTACCTCTATCTGCCCAGCACCCTGCAGGCCAAGGTGTCCAAATGAGGTGGCCCAGACTGCATGGGGCAGAGCATCAGGAAAAGTGTTTCTGTGAACTTTGGTCCAGAGCACAGCGCCCAGGCCTGTCTGCGCGTCCACGGGCAGAGCTTTTGATGGGTCCGAGGCCAGAATGTCCTTCGGGTCCCAAGTGAGAAAGAAAGCATTTAGTCATTTTGACAGAGGAGAAATTAACCCTGTAATGTGTTTCTATCCTAGGCAAGTGTTTCCTAATACAACCAACGTTAACGTCCTCAGAAAAGGGAGCAGACACTGTCCTGGCAGATTGGGGGACCCTGGGCCCATATTCACTCTTTAAGGCCCTCAGAACGCTATTAGGGAGTCAGGGGATTGTTTGTACCCCATTGGCCAGGGCCTCCTCTGCTACCAAAGTCCTGGCTGGGGAATTGTGCCCTGTTCAGGGTAAGTCACCCAGCCTGTAGATCAGGGATGGTGAATAACCGTGACCGTAGCAGACATCACCAATCAACTGCAGCATGGTGCGGAATCAGGATTCTTCTTCAGGAGGTGCTCTGGGCAGCCACGACCTATCCATTCAGCACTCACGATGGCACCCCTTAGCCTTTCCTGTCTGATGTGCTCTGCAGTGGGATCACGGCCAGACCGTGTGGGGGAGCCTGCTTATCTCCTGACATGACACCTGTCCCTACTGGGGAAACTCCTGGAGCAGGCTGTCTGGGGGGCAATGAAGGGAGACTGAGGCAGATAGCCCGAGTAGCCCCTGGCCTTCTGCTGCACTATAGCTTGTTCTCAGTACAGAGGAGTGAGTGAGTGGTGGGGGTTGGGGAAGCGGTTACTTGGTCATTTCTTCTGCTGAAAAAATCCAGAGAAATTATCAGAGCCATTCATTCGGGGGGCAAGCAGATCCTGGGGACTTGCTCACCTGCTCCAGATTTAGGGCTTGTGATGCCAACATTCAGATTCTTGCTTGGTGCCAATCA